GAACCACTGACGGGCCGTGAGGCAGGGGTAAACTTTTGAATGGGAAGGATTTGTGCAACGCCACTTGGCAGAAAGGTGGTCCAGAATGTTTGTCGGAGCATGGGCTACTTTAAATTTGGCGGCACAGCCTTTATTGTTATTTTGCAGACGATTTTCGTGTCGACTGTGAGCTGTGCCGCCATTGGGGGCTAAGCAGAAGGACGGGAGCAAAGCAGAATTGCGCCGGGGGCGTAGAGGAACGACGGGGGCGAAGCAGATTTTTTGCGGGGGCGAAGCAGAACGGGGCGGGGGCGAAGCAGAACGGCGGGGGCGAAGAGGAAGGAGTTTCATGGGGGTGTATGGGATAGGGTTGCCACATTAAAAAATGATCACAAATTTGACTTTGAAAATCCAGTTTTGGTGCCATCAAATTGCATTGGGACTGCTTTTATTTTTTGGTCAGACCCATAGAAGCTTGATGCCCAACACCTCTAAGTCAAGAAACTTGAAAAAAATTGATTTAGTTCTGACAATGGGAATGGTTCTCTCCAGTTAGAGCTATTTGGCCACAAGCTCCCAGGTAGAAGGCCAAATCAGCCCATGACAGCGAACACAGGCCAGTTGTATATTTTCTTAAACTTGTTTATTTTTATAAGCAACAAAATGCTTTCTGGCATAAAACACCAGCTTATACCTTACAGAAACCAAGCATACAAGCAACAAAATGCTTTCTGGCATAAAACACCAGCTTATACCTTACAGAAACCAAGCATACAAGCAACAAAATGCTTCTGGCATAAAACACCAGCTTATACCTTACAGAAACCAAGCATAATACTAGACTGACTGGTTTCATATATCCACTCTCGCCAAAAAGGCATGAATAAATACGGTAATTCTTCATTTTTTTACAGTACTTTTATGTTACTTCTTTAGGGCAAACTTATCATAATATGATTACATTAATAAACTAGAGAAGTATTAAACATTTGCAAAGCAAATGCATAATGTTTACCTTCGGACATGGTCTGCCCTGTTGATTTTTACTCAAACATATTTACATACATGTACTACTAGTATTATGGTGACAGGAGCAGAGCAGACCATGAAGTTTGCAACATTATGTAACCCAACACCAGTCACCATGGTGACAGACATAAACAAATCATGTCATTGGCCAGGTCAGAGGTTAGTCTTTGGAGAAGAAGAAGAGGAAGAGGAAATTGAGTAAAAACAATATGTTTTCCTTCGGTAAACATAATAAATCGACGACTATCTTTTTTTCTGCACCTGTCGGCACTGTGAGCATATAGTTCCGTGAACACCTCCATTTTTCTTAGACCGTGAAATTTTGCTACTGTGAACTGAAAGAAAATTACAGTAACTGAAGACTTCAATTGTCCAGTATTGGGCTAAGTACTCATGACAAAGATTTGTTCATACAAACACATTCAAACAGGTTTTTATCAGTACAATAATATAGTATTACATTTCGTACATGAATTTAGACCCTCAGTTCTACAAGGAACACTTTCAAAAGACTTCATTCAAAAGCTGACTTGCAATGTAATACTATAATATCTACGGTGGCCCATAGGAACAAATATTGTTATCTATGCAAACCATTTGGTTTGTGTAGACCATGAAATTTGTCACTGTGGGCCATCGTAGTAATTCTAGTAGGAAGAATAAGGCACATGTCTGCCATTTGTGGCAATTACAGTAAATTACAATCCACTTTTAGCAGCAATTGGTGGATCCAACCAAACCAGTTTTTTTTAAACATAGAAATGCAACATAAAACACATAAATACAAATATTTCAGAACCATGTAGCTACTCTCTCATTGGTCAGACCACTAATTGCCATGCTGTCATTGGTTGAACTGTTAATTGTGATAGACGGTCAGGATTGGTCTATTCTTCTGATACATCATACCAGGACATCATACACAATTCTTCCCCATTCCGTCACACTTCTTGGTCCCTATTAAAAGGCATTTATTTATAAATGTACAAGCCAGCCCACAATTCTAGTAGCACCAGGGATTGTGGGTAACGTCAGGCCCCCAGAGGTAAACAATCAAGAGTCAAGTACGTTGCTGTGTTATCTTTGCTTTCTGTTTTGTTCTGATATTTGATATGTAAGAATATAAAACAGTTTTTGTCTATTAAAGTTAGAAAAATCCGACACTGAACAGTCTACAAGTCTTAAGACAAATAATCATGGCAATGTTTACAAGTGAAGGGCCTTAAACTTTGACCCTAGCTCGACTAATACTGCACATGTACTCTTGGAACTGTGAGGTGGCTTATTGAGGCTAAGACAACTTCATACTGCTAATATCTACTTTAGACATTCTGTAATGCTAACTAGATTGTAGCCCGACTTCTCGACCAAATAGTCCATGAGGAAAACAGAGATCATGTAACTGTCCGGGTGGTCTGAGTCCAGGCTGACGATGCCTCCCTTGTCCTCTAGTTGATTGGCGATGACACGAAGAGCTTTGGGGACTCTCTCCACGTCTCTGTACTTGTAGTAGTTTGCAACAGACAGGAGCCAGTTTTCTGTTGGAAAACAGGTGTCACATTATTCTGTAACAGTATAGCCGGTATAACCGCCCTTCGGCGTAACACGCCAGCTTCGCAGGCATGCGGCGCGGCTGCAGCTAGCTAAATGACACCGAACGACTTGTTACACTCAAATCTTTGCACATTTGATTGCAGGAGTTTTGTTTAAAGCTTTCTAGCGATGATGCCCCAACTGTGCTTGGTGGCAACGAGTTCCAGTCTACGATAGTTCTTGGGAAATACGAGTTTTTGAAACCTCGATTCTTGGTTGATAACTCTGATATTTGAAGGCATGATTGTTTCTTGTTCTTTTCTGGGCATTATTGTGTCATATGGGACATTATACTGTGGAAAAATGCCTCCGCCCCTTACGCATTGCCAAAAACAAAGTGTACATTCTTACAATTATGACACTGAACAAGATTATTTGTGAGGGAAGGAAAGGAAACCATCTACATCAGGGCCCATCAACCTTCATTGGACCGGGACAGGGGACGCTACAGACTTTCCACCACCTTTGACCCATTGCTTGATTTCGGAAAGTGACGTGTACTGTGCTGTAAGACCCTCAGTTTTCTTAAAGAATACCAGAGGACTGCTGAAGAGTCCAGTCCTTGTGTTTCATGATAGTTAATTTAATATTAAGATATATTTGGAAATTGAAGAAAATTACCGTGTGTTGGAGGGAAGCTAGCTGTCGGTTGGATGATCCTCAGGCCCCGATACTTAGCTTCGCTTTTCACGGCGTCTGTCACATGCTCAGGCAAGTAGTAGGCTGTCTGTAGGTCCACTTCGCTCAGCCGCTGTATCGTGCTGACCAGACCCATCCGGATCCAGCTCTGTGCCTGTAGCGTGAAGTGCCCTAGCGGAAATGGTTGGCCCTGCAGGTGAAAATGAGCAATCTGAGTTTTCAGACTGAAAAGAATCTTTTGGAGGGTCCTTCATGCAATTCTGGGCTTCCTGAATTCCCCCATGTCAACCTGTTGGCTCCTAGATCCTGGCCAAAGCCATTTCCTGTTTCTGACCTTTTGTCCGCCTGTCATTCTGCCTGTCAATTTTCCCCACCCATGTGCTGTCAACCTACTTAGCTGTCTGGACAAGCAGACACACAATCCCACACGTCAGCCCCTAACAAAACAATATTTCCGTTACCGCATAGCTGGAAGTTAAAAGTTGTAGGTTGTATTTGCATTGTTTGTATGTGTATGTTTTACAAATCTTTGTAAATATGTAAATAAGGAGTTTCACATTTAAGACTGCGCATGTGCAGAATGATGCATTTTTGGTAATGTGTCAAAGGTGGAGACTCTGAAACAAAACACTTCCAGGCATGCACAAAGCATGGTCTGGTGTCTTGTTTACGTTTTGGGAACGCTTCACCTTTGATCCTGGGCATGCGCAGTGGTAATTCTGAACCTCCTTATACAGTATGCAAATAAGCCTCGTTCTCACCTCGCGCATGCCTATAGTGAAAGTTTTGGCCCATTCTGTCACCAGTTCGGGAAACGTTTCCACGAAGTCTCCATAGAGGAAGAGCGTGACGGGCATCCTGCTGGAGTGAGCCGCGATGGTCTCCACCAACTTGTGTGCGGCCTTGGCGTTCATACCGACCAGGACTGCCAGCGTCAGGCGTGGGGCACCCGAGGGTGGCGCCGTGCAGCCGGAGTAGACGGTCCCTGGTGAGCCTACAAAACTCTCGGAAACCTTGAATGAAAGGAATGAATATTATAAAGCTAAAGACTTTTTTAAATGTGCATAAAACACTACCTTAACTTTGTACTATCCTACTGCTGTATACCTTAAGTGCCTAGTCACCTAGGTCACGTGACCCTACGGACACATGACGCCAGCGATTGACCAGGAAGTCTATACCGCCCATCGCCCAACAACGGCCTTTGGACACTCGCATGCGATCTGTCGTAAGCGCTGTTAGCCAAACGGATAATCCCTTTCCTGTTGCCCGTATGCGGCGACATGATTGGTTGATGAGGACTGGACGGGGCTAACACTAACGAGCTGTCACCAGCCAATCACGTTGCCTCTTGCCCGTATGCGGCGACGTGATTGGTTGGTGAGGACTGGGCGGGGCTAACGCTAACGAGCTGTCACTAGCCAATCACGTTGCTGGCCACGCTGGCCTGGCACTAATTATGCAGTCAGAAGCAGGCCCGTGTTTGATGCAAGGAGCAGCGGGTATGGCGTGTTAGGGTGAGTTGGAAATAACGCTTTGTTCTTTTCGATCTACACATTCGATTTTCTTCTAAGGCCATATTGATTTGATTATATGGATGACATCCACCCGCGCATGAATTTTTGGCCGTTTCCAAAATAAAGTTTTCAACCATACTGTAAATCGTACCAAACAGTTGCAAAATAAGCAAATATATACCGTAGGTTGAAAAAAATATTGGAAAACGATACCAATGTCGTAGAATGCCAAAATCAGACGTAAAAGACGAAAATGTTAAGAAATGATTTTGAGGACTAGATTATTCGTCAAACCATACCCTGTGTCATTTGTTCAACCTTCAAAACCACATAGATTTCATAATGAAGAAAACTTTTTTTTAGCCAAACTTGTTTTATTTGCACGCCGCATCAGTTTTGGGGTTCCCAGAGAATGTCATCCATATAATTAAATCAACATGGCCTAAGCAACGGCTTTGACTACTCACCAAAGGAGGGTGCATGGTGTCGAAGTCCTGGTAGGTCCGGTACTCGGCCGCCCAACTCAGGAAAGGTTTGCCGTTCTTCTGTACGTCTGACACGAGTTTGTCTTTCTTTTTTTTATCCCACCCAGTGACAGGTTGCCAGCCGTGAAACTCTCCGTAATACCTGCATACATTGAGAGAAAAACAGGTTGCGAATAGATTTAATTTAGCCAGTAGCAAAGCTTTGGTTTACTGTGCAACTAGTTTGCCTTCATGGTTGTTTGTATGTCGTTTTGTGTTTATATTATGCCAGTATTTGCATGTGATGTATCATGTTAAATTTTATTTTTCATACCTGAAATAAAGAATGAATGAATTAATTAATTAATAAAGGAATTAAGGAAGGAATCAGTTTTTACTACCGGGCACAGAAGTATTGTTTTGGGTGGCAGAGCTGCATGTGGGTTTGTTTGTGAGTGTGTTGATAGCACATGGGTGGGGAAGATTGACAGGTAGAATGGCTGGAGGTCAGACGCTGGAAATTGGTTGAGGTCACGAAAATAAATTTCAAAAAAAACCTCCCAGAAATCCAAATCTCCAATTTCTTCTTTTTCCATAATCATGATTTACTGGGATTGATAACTTTTTTCTGACTTTGTAACAACACAATGTATAGAAATTACACTGTCTGGTCACTGGAAAAAAGGCGGACTTACTTGTCCACCCAATTAAAGGTTCCGTCTTCCAGCATCTTCTTCAAGATGTCGTACTCGGCACCTTCCACGTCAAGCTTGAAGATGACGTAATCCTCCACCGCGGTGTTCTCCTGAATCCAGCGGGACAGGTCGACTGTCGGCACCGTCCGGTGGTGGGACAGCTTCCGCTTGCCGCCCGTCTCGGTGTCCCTTTTCTCGTCTTCGTAAGCAAAGAGTGACCCCCCTCCCCACTGCATGTCTTTGCCGTTGTTTAGTCCTTTGTTCGGTGACCAGACCAGTTCCGAGTAGGCCGTCATGTTTCCTAATGTGGCCAGAATAATAAGTCTTAAGATTTTATAATATCCTCTCTTTTAATACCAGGCCCACCGCTTATCAACGACCCTTGCGTACCGGTCTGCGATTCGCTGCATTAGTGCTTGCTGAAAAGTCGTCAGCCAATCAGACACTGCCCCTTGAGCCATGTTGGAGGAAAAGTTACCAGCCAATCACGTTGCCTCTTGACAATAAGTGGCGACGTGATTGGTTGGCGACGTCTGGCAAGCGCTAACGTAGCAAAAAGGGCGGATCGTAATACACAACACTCTTGGGTTTCATCTGCAAGTTCTGAGTTGACTCCTCTTTGTACTAGTATTGTCGGCATTCAATAACGCGTTTTGAGGGTTCAGAAGATCGTTTATTGCCTTCGAAAGAAGGCTATGAAATCGTTTTGGCACTGTTTGGCAGATTATGCACGATAAAGTTTGAAGGCATGGTCCGAGGTTCACGATTTTTGGTAGGCAGGTTGTCTTAGTGATTGGAAGTGTCAAGGCCAAAAATGGGCTTCGTGGTTGTCTATAATTTTTAGTTGGCAAGTCGCCGTTGAGAATACGGAGGTCAAGTTCGGATATGGGCCTCGTGGGGGGTTTCCATGTCATTGAATTTGACCTTTTGTGTTGGTCGTTATTTTAAATGCAAATTAGGACACCAACATGGCGGCGGGCACAGCTATGACGTCACGCGAAAACTACTGTATTCTATACTCACCGTCCTTGTTGGACACCCCAGTGGGACAGTGCAGCACGTGGTTCGGGTACGGTGCGAAGAAAGGCGTCAGTCTCTCGTCTATCTCGAAGGAGTGGATGATGAAGTCCTGTCCGTCTGGGTAGGTCTCCCGGAACAACTGGACTGTGGACGCCACGTTAGCCCCGCAGTCCAAAAGGATCTTCCGCGGCTCTTTGGTGTTAGTAGACGCCGCTTCCGCCTTTGGCAATCTGCATGAAATGTATCAAAAGAATGCATATACTGAAATAAAGCTCAGCTCATACATCATTTCATACATCTTATACAATTAGCAACACAGATAAGTTCATATTTCTAATGACTTTAGACAAACCTTCGATTATAAAACACATCTGTACTTATATCTACATCGTTGCTAAGAAGTGAGAAGAAGCCATATTATCGTAATTATTAGACTATATGCCCATAGTACATAGAATTAGCGCTAGCTTGTACATTGTATATATTCATTGCAAACTGTGATGTCTTCTCTGTGACCTGTACTGAACCCAGTGGGTATTTGCGTACAATAAAGGTCTTCATTCATTCATTAATCATTACAGGCTATCACTACTACTCAGAGGCTTCGCACTGCTTTACACTACAGAGTCGCACTAGGTACATGTGTACAAGACAGTGTTTATAGTGTACAAGACAAGACGTAATGAAACATCAATGTCACAGTCGAAATCCACAGGTTATGCCAGGTCGTAAGGATAGACAGTCAGACGTCACACACCTGTGCACACAGTGTTTTCAAGGACTGTATTGAGTTCTAACAATGGGTGGGAGTTAGTTCCAACTCACTGCACCTCTATATATATATTAAGCAAACGTTCTTTTGCCGTTTTCTTATTTAGCTCTGGTGGGAGGCAATGAGTTTATTCCAACCCACTGCACCTCTAGTATAAGCAAACGTTCTTTTGCCGTTTTCTAATCTGGCTTTTGTTGGAGCAAGGACATTATACCTTGTGTATAATGTCCTTGGTTGGAGGCAATGAGTTTATTCCAACCCACTGCACCTCTAGTGTAAACAAACGTTCTTTTGTCGTTTTCTAATCTGGCTTTGGGGAGACGCAAGGACTAATTCAAACTGTGTCGGGTGGAATATTAAGTATGGGTTTCTAAGGTCCTGTGGAAGATACAAGATACAATACAAAAAGACACACAAAAATAGCATTACACCAACAACCTTGAAGCAATACAATACAATGGTTTACTCTTTTCATATCTTTATATCTATGTACCTAGGCCAATACGTATGTAGGGCTTTAGAAAAGAACGAATTGTGAGAGACATGATGTTTAATGTACCTCATGCCAATACGCTATTTACGTTATATCTATGAAGTTTTAGTTTCCAAGAATAGACTAGTATTACTGTAAAGATTACATTGTTATCCTTGCCATACATTGTACCATGTACAACTGTCGAGCAATAAAGATCACCATGACTTATCTTTTGCTATCCTCAACTGAGGTGAAAGCTAAAAAAAACAAAGCATTTTCAAGTAGCTACCGGTGCAATGCAGCTTCGCGTTGCGTATTCAGCCACACATAGTGCAGCTGTATTTGTGAAAGGTTTCTGGTGACAGTACTTAACTTGATGGTCGAAGACGACTTGTACCATTAAAACGTAAGAACCTGCTAGCTGGCTTAAAGGCCCATTATGTATTTTTTTTCGCAATAAATTCAAATATTCTGAATCTAACAAATTTGGGTTTTATCATCATTTACTATCACTTTTCAACACATTTTTTTTTTCATTCCAACATTTCATGGCCAAACATGGTGACGGCACACTCAAGTTATACCAACTTATTTTATGCCGCCACCAACACAGAGTACAAATACAGGGCAGGATAATACTAATTTTCACTTGAGTTAAGTGAGGAAAGTCGTGTAAAGTGCATTTCCTAAGGGCACATGATCGATGGCATGTCAGGACTCGAACCCGGGACCTCTTGGTTCCGAGTCGCGAGCACTCCACACGACCCCACTTCAACACGTTTGCGTCATCTACGGTGACCTGCGGTTCGACTGGATTCGGGAATGCTCGGGCGCTGTCGGAGAGCCTTGGTCGGATGTAAACAAACATGGCCGCGATCCGAGCTAGCGCCGAGGAGTTGGCAGTTTTCCAACACGTTAACCTTTTTGCAGCGTAACGACGTTGAACTTTTAATCCCAAAATGTCATTATGAACCCAGGTAGGCTTACAGAGCAAGAAAATGTGGAAAACAACGATGTTTGAAATAGTTGAAATTCTACATATGGAATGAGTGATGGCGTGGACAATGCTTTGCGTGGCATAGTCTGCAAGAAATTCTTTCGTTCGGAGATTTTCTAATACATTGTACTATTATTGCCTCCCAAATATCACCACCGGTACCATCAACAGTGTGTGTATAGTGATCTCATGACGGTCTCAAATAACCACTACAAAGTGTTCATACCTGACAAACGAAAATATCAGAAAAATACCTGTGCATCATTACAAATTTGCAGAGAATTTTTTGCCATGGCGACGATTAAATGGTTATTGTATGTGGTGTCAATGTAAAAAAATATGTAAGGTACTGGTTATTATTCTAATCTAGTAATTCACTTTATTCTGATCTGTAAGACACTTCATGTTCACGGTAGCAAAATTTCACGGTCTGGGAAAAGTGGACATGTTCACGGAACTATAATATATTCACGGTGGCGATAGGTTCAGGAAAAAAGAAAGTCCAGGAATTATTTGTTAACTGTAATGATAAGATCATGGTACAGAAGTGACAGTGAAAACAGTGAATATAAAAGTATCGAGAAAATAATCAAGTATTTTAACCGTTTCTTCTTACTGTTTTATGTTGCCAGACTGAAATTATTCTTTTGTTTACAAAGCTCAGGAGAACTGCACGACCTAATGTTGTTGTATTTCACTTTGCTGTTGTTGTTGGGGTCAACACATGACAGAACCTCTCTTACATCTGGAGCAAACAGATGCCACTGAGGCCTGCGTTTGGTGACAACCTAGCCTACTTTCGGGGACAAACAGGTGTTCAGAAGGCCTTTGTCAAAGATAGCTCGAATTCCTGCATGCAGACTAACTCCCAATTATACCACTAGGCTCACCCCTTGCCTTGGGCGTCGCCAAAATGGCGTGTACACTTGACTTGAGCTAAGACCCATTGAAATACAAGTCGACTGTACTAACATGAAAAGTGGGTCAAACATCTGCACACTACTATTGTTTTCAATATCGATCGTTATGTTTCACGACATGCAATGCGATTTCGGGGAAGCAAAACTGGATTTTCAAAGTTTTATTTTCTGGTTATTATCCTAATCTAGTAAGATGAATAAATCCAAACCCCATATTAACATGTCTGTGAGTCAAAAATGCCATGTTACAGATGGAAAACGGTTGTTTGTTTTGTATCGTAGGCTGGTTCTAGCTATTTATGGGTGGCACCCAAAAATAAAAAGCTTCACGTAGCTTGTTTTTGGGGCTGTTTCAAACGCTTTAAGTATAGAATGATGACGAAAATGTGCTACGCTATAAAAATGGCAGTAAATATTAATATCAGACAGATTTCCTCATCCAGAGTAGTTTTGAGGTTGCGAACCTTTAACATTTATTTATTTTATTTTATTCACATTTATTTTTCGAGGATTGGGCAAAAAGTTATAAAACTTATCTCAGCCCTCTCCTCACACATAAAAGTAAACAATAATACAAAGTAATAATAATAAAAATAATAAGAAGAAGAATTTAATGACAAAGGTACATAATGAGCTGGTGTAAAATCAAAATCAATCAACTAAATCAAACAAAACGTCCTGTCTGCAAAATAAAGTTGAAAACCACATCAAATATTTTACAGTTGTTGACAAACGACAATGAGGGGTTACCCCTGAGAATGGTTGAACATAAAGTGTTGTCGGTGACGTTGTTCATGTCAAATGGCAGGATGTTAGTTAGAGATGATAACATGTCAATACGTTGTCAGTGTACAGTGGGCAGTGTAGGAAGTAGTGTACAGTTTTGTAACGTTTTGGCGTGACTGCACCACCATTATTTTTGGACCAGCCCCGCCAATTAAAGATTGCAACATACGGTCCCACCCGGCTTTGTAATGTGTACGATGCAGCCGATCTTACTTTCCTCATGTTTATATTTTCTAGGCGCTGTGTCGAATAAATTTGTTACAACAAAGAACCAGACGCCACGTATACGTATACTGTAAATATTAAAATGTTCGCAGTGTTTTTAATATTCTTTTCGCGGCAAACTCCCCATTGCAATAATCATGATACTGAGAGTATGCATTTTCGTTTTAGAGCTAATACAATGCATTATTACTTTAATTGTGAACTTGAGAAATAGATAAACTTACAGCACGGTGAAAATGGATACATTTACAGTAAAAGTAAGGGCGTAAACCGATCAACATTCATACACTCGTGTCATTGTTATCATTAATATTTTATATTGTTTTATTGCAAATTCGTGGGAGGGCTAATTCCAGGAACAGAAGAAACATTTGGTATAAAACACAGACAATTAGTACACGTAGAACTACTGATAACTACTAAGAAACTACTAGTAAAAATTACTGGGTTTCGGTTAGGATTAATACTTTATGATGAAATCATTTAACTTCCAACCATAGATGACCTAACTCACAACCAACTCCCAACCACAGATGACCTAACTCCCAACCAACTCCCAACCACAGATGACCTAACTCACAACCAACTCACAACCACAGATGACCTAACTCACAACCAACTCACAACCACAGATGACCTAACTCACAACCAACTTCCAACCATAGATGACCTAACTCACAACCAACCACTGAAATTGCATTGGATGCCTTTAATACAGTCATGTAGCTATAGGTGTAACAGGTGGTTCGATGTAATGTTAACATAATATTGAACATCCGCGTACCTGCGACAGTTGTTTTTACATAAACTGAGTTGTACAATGCAGATACAAACACTAAACAACCGCTCAACATGTTAATTTTTTTTATGGCACCCAAAGCTATTTCAGGACAATGAAACTGGATTTTCACAGTCAATTTTCCGGTCCTATTTTAATGTAGTAAGTAAGTCAACCCTATAGCATGCTGATGTTTATGTGAAGCAAAAATACGATGTCGCCGACAAAAAACGGTTGCTTGTTTTGAATCATAGGCTGGTCCTTGCTGTTTAGTGGTGGTAGCAAAAAATCTTAATTCCTCACGTAGCTTGTTTTTGGCTTTTTCAAACGCTTCAAGTATGAAACGATGACAAACATTTTCTAAGAAATGACATCCAGTATATCTTTTTCCTATTTTGCCTATAGCTACCCGAAATGCTTTAAGCTCGCTAGAAAATAAAAACACAAATAAAAACACATCAAACCTTACCGTGCCTTCCAGGCTGGTATGCTGGCGTGATGTTGAATATTTCCCGTGGAATCATGGCCACCGCTACGCTGCGTGAGCTCGCGGAGAAACGAGCCTACACTCTTCGGTACGTACGGTGCTGCATGTTCCGGTACCCGGAAAAGTTGGGTGATACAGATCCCAAAAATCGTTCCTGCCAGAAGTGTGAACCACCGGCTCGCAAAAAGCCTTCTCCCGACCGCAGCAGGCTGAGTAGACATCGTGTGCTGTGTGATAAAAAAACAAGAACAGCAACAGTTGTCGCAACAACAGGTAGAAATGTCGAGTTTAATCTAGACCACGTGACCACTGCTACCACACGGAGGTTAAAGACACCCAATGCCATTTCAGGGCGGCAAAACTGGTTTTTCAAAGTCAATTTTTCTAGTCATTCTTTTAATCCAATAAGTTGAATCAACCTTAAGCCTAGTTGTTACAGTTATCCCATCTTTAAATGCAGTGGTGTCATTCAAGTTCAAAATTCATTGTTTAAATTTTGAACCAGCCTGGTGTGTTGACTTCATGGCTCCTATCGTACCATTTTGGGCCATGATAGGATGCCTAGGCCTGTTTTTATTTTTTATTTTTTTTCGTCCGCCTGCTCCATTATTTTTCTAGAAAAATCCGTTAACTAAGAAATTAAATTGGTGTGGCCTTATCCCATAGCATACTGATATCTGTGAGGCATATCGGTGTTTTTTTATCGTAGACTGGTTCTAGCTATTTATGGGTGGTACCCAAAAAATAAAGGGACTCCACGTGTGCCTTGTTTTTTTT